ATGAACCAGGTTCTATTGTAAAGATGAACCAGGTTCTATGGTACAGCGATGAACCAGGTTTTTAGGGGATCAGGAAAGTCCATTGAATCAAATAGAAAGAGAGACAGAATATAAAAACGTCTGGACAGTCCTCATTAAGGACTGAGAAAATTAAAAAGTACAAACACAAAACTGACCAATAAAATAAAACAGGGACCAGTAGCTATAGTGGGAGTTACTTCAGCTCCCAGCAGAACCCTGACATTTCCTACAGAACCAAATCATAAAAAAAATCACTGCATCCTTTCATGGTGTTTATGGTTTGGTTTCATCATTTTGCTCCAAACTAATTAACTGTAAAACAGTTAAACCCTGTAATTACATGAAATGTATTTGAAGAACAAAGCTTGCAGCTTCTGCTGCGTCTTGTTCTTTTTTCTGTGCTGTCCTGCATCCTTGTGTCTTTTGATATTAATGATTCTTTATCCTATTTACATTCAAATTACCTCCCAGGTGGTACACCAATAAGAGGTAAGAATGACAGGTAAAGAAAAACTCTTCATCCTCCTGCCACTCCTTCTTCCATCCCTGGATCATCCTCATTTCACTTCATCCTCATCTTCTCCATTCCCTGCTCTGACACCTTCTCTGCCTTCACAAAACAATAGCTGTGGTACGTTTAGGGTTGTTATTTCTAAATAGAAGGTAATAATAGATTAAACATGAAAAGAAGGTGCAGCCTCTGTGCTATTAGCAGATCTTTCATCTGCTGGCAGCTCCCTGAATTATAGAAAAGATTACAGCAAGCGGTGAAGCAGTGAGCAGTGATTAAGCGTGACTCTTCTTGTTCCATAATTCGGTCCTCACAGGTTCAAATCCATGGATGAAATGTGTGACTGGCCGTCTGTTTGACCGCCAATCACACAAGAACTAACCATGGTCCAATCAAGAGCTTGTGGGCGGTATAAACTCAGAGAAGCAGGCCTCAGCTTGAGCTGCAGGTTTTCTGCTTGGTCCTAGTGCCTGACAATGTCTGTGTACTGTAGTGTAACATTGTTTTTGGACAATAAAACATACCGAGGACCATGACGCTCATTTGAAAAAGTGCAGGGGAAATGTCCCTTTTGATTGGTAGGCTAATGAAGTTCAAACATGAAATGTATAGTCTGCTTATTTATGCTCATGCATCTTTGGATGTTTTCACACCTGCAGCTTTAGGTCAACCTAAAGTAGCGAGAGCTACTGATAACCATGTAACCTTAGCCTCCACCATGATAGTTTTATCCATTCATCTCTGCTATTGTTATAGCGGCAGAGCTTCCAGATTTAAACCAATTGTCAGGGAGACAAAGCACTCTCCAAGTACTGCAGTGTTTGGTCCTAATCGACAAAAAGCAGGTGTGAAAGCCACCATACTAACTGAAAAATGCTGAACTATTATGTGCAGTAATGGTGCGAAAACACCCTGAGTTTGTAATGTATTTGTGAATTCTAACATGTGGCCTCTGTTCTTAGGAGCACTTCAAATTGAAAACAGTGATGAGTCTGACCAGGGCAAGTATGAGTGTGTGGCTGTCAACAATGCTGGCACTCGCTTCTCCAGTCCTGCCAACCTTTATGTTCGAGGTAAGATACTCTTCACTTTGAATGACCCCTTCTGACTGCATCTTGTGGAACAGATCCCATTGGTTTCTGCGCGCTCTCTGTATTTTCTTGCTGTAATTTCTTCTTTTTATTTTGTGTATGATGGAACATGTTTGTAGAGTATTTTCCTCACCTGTTTAATTATTATAAAGTGCACAAATTCAAAGCCGGACGGTGAAAATTTTTTGTTACTGTGGTCAAAATAGTCAAGTAGTGTGTTGAGAGAAAATGAAAATGAAAATCACAAAACAATGTACCTGCTCACTGATTATAAAGTGTGAAAAGCTGCCCGTTTCGTAGGGAAACGGTCATTCCAACCATCGCATTTCCAAATTCTCCCAGTGGTGCCCGACTTTACACGAATGAATAAAGTGGATGTGATTGGTCTTTTATCAAGGGGGCGGGATTGTTGTGGAGAAAGGTTCCCAAGCAAGTTTGGTTGTGGCCAGTTTGTTCGAAGCATCATGCTAACCAGTTAGCAACTTAGTGCTAGCAGGTTCCCAATGGGAAATTCCATTGGGACCAAGTAGCACTAAATTGGTGCCTTAGAAACGTCGCTGTCAAGGAACGTTATGGACAGCGGAAACATGCAAGAGGAGGAGAGTTTAGTGTCGGAGGTCGTGGATGAGTCTCCTCCGTCATCCATTTTTTATTTAGAGGAGGAAAGCGGGGACGAAGATGTTGTGGAAGAGGACGCCAGGGCGGCAGAAGCTTGGTTTGGTGTAGAAGGCTTCCAGCCGTACATGTTTGAGCCCTTGCCTCGCAACGCTGCCAGTTCTGTTAGCTCTACGCCTGCCGAAGACACAGACGTCCATCCCCGTGAACACTGGGACGCAACTCAATGGGAAAGGAAAGGATTCTGGTTTCAATCGTTGCGTATATTAGCTGCGACATATGAATCAAGATGCTATGACCAAAGAAATTGATTGACAGATGACCATTGATATATGATTGGCCGAATTTAGGTGTTCAGGCTGACGTAGAACTAACTGGCCTGCAGAAGATAATGGAAAACCCCCCCACAGATATTTAAGATTTTTTTTAAATAGAAATTTTCTAACTTTTGGGACAATATGATATGATAAAAAGTATATTTATGTACATGTTTAAGCCAGAATGATTTGACATTTAAATATGATCTCCCTACGACTTTAAACACATGAAGTAGTCTTTGAAGGGGAAGTGTTCATCATGTTGATCTAGAACTTAAAACAGAGTTTGCCTGTTTGCATTGATAAAAAAAAGCATCCTTTTTTTAATCATTATTTCGAAGGGTTAAGTTGCCTTTATTTTAGATTTTTTTTTAAATGGGTTGACAGGAAATGGGATTAGAAAGAGGGGGAAGACACGCGGCAAAGGTCCAGGGGTGGGAACATGTGACCTCTGCAATTGAGTCATGCACCATGAGAATATCATTAGTGACTTTCACCAGAGCTGTTTCAGTGCTATGATGAGCTCTAAAGCCAGACTGAAACTCTTCAAAAAGTTGATTATGGTGTACGTGATTGCATGATTGTTTGGCAACTACTTTCTCAAGAATTTTAGATCAGAAAGGAAGATTGGATATAGGTCTATAATTGACCAAGTCATTTGGGTCAAGAGACGGTTTCTTAAGCAGAGGTTTTAAAGGGAATACCTCCTTAAATAACCTGGTTGGAACAGGATCTAACATCCAAGAAGTATCGATACTCAAAAAAGTATCCCAACCCTTTCAACAACTTATTAAGCAGCTAAACTCAAGGTATGCTCTCCCCTCCCTGAATCACTTTATGTACAGTAAATTCCAGAGCTGTACAACACAACAAAACAAACAGTCTTGCAGCAGCTTCAGGGGAATCCTTACTGCTCCTGTACCTCTGACCTCTGGACCAGCAGGGCTGCATCCTCTTTCATGGCTGTAACCCTGCAATTTATTACAGAGTCCTGGGACATGCAGAGCTGGTGTCTGGGATGTGTTGGGCTACATTCAGAGCATACAGTCATTCATCTAGAGTGCAGAATAGAGGACAATGCACTTTCTGAACACTGTGATTGAATAATTCTGTCAACTTTTCAGTTTCAGACTTTTTTCTTACAGATGCAGCTGCTTTGAATACAGCATTTATTTTTGCTTTTTAACTGGTTTGGCTAGTGTCATTGTTGTGTGTGTAAAGCATAGCCAAGGTAAATTGACACCGCCAGATGGATTTGTTCCGCATATCCATCTGGAAACCTTCCGTTGAAGTAATTTTGGGAAGGGGCGAAAATACTGGTTAGCTGATTGGCCTATGTTGGTGATAGACGGGCCAAATAAACCAATCAGATCAACGAAGCATATGACGTACTAACAGAGCGACGACGAAAACACAACCACAAGCCAGGCTACTCTTGCCGAAACCAGTCGGGAGAAGAGCAAAAACATCTTTTCCTCTGAGAAAAGCCTCCAGAGCAGTGTTTTGCTCTTCTTTCAGTGAAGAAATACTCTGTAATTCCGATAAAACTTGCTCGATAGCCACGCTAACGCTAGTTTCATCGGCTGAAGCCGCCATGTTCTTTAGACTGAACTGTCGCGCTTCTCGTTGCGTCACACCTCAACCCGCCTCAAAGCCAACGCTGATTGGACGTTCGTTTGGTGAACGGCTCCAAATTTTCTTTAACGGAGAGTCTCCAGACTGATCTGCGAGTGAAACCTTGAAAGCTTGCAAGATCAGGATGGTCTCACGAGGCTATAGCCAAGGAAGGAACACTTCAAATATAATTTTCTTTGTTTGTATGCACAGCATATAACCTCAAAATATTGTTCGAGTTGAAAATTTTAGTATCGTGACAACCCTAGTAGAAGCACCTGCAGCAGTGGGATCAGGAAGAACAGACCCTTGGTTCTGAACCCAAGTAGAGTTTAGTCATTGGTTTTCCATTGATTCTCGATAACAGGTACGCAACAACGGTCTTCAAGTGCCACTATCCTGCAGGTTTTGCATACATCCCTGCCCCTATAAACTAACGAAAGGCAAAATTACCCCCCGGGCATGTTGATTAGTTAAGCTGAGGCCTGGCCATTAACCAATCTTTACTTTCAGGTGTGTTTAAGAAGGGATGCACGCAAAAGCTCCAGGACAGAGACACTCGACCGGCGTTGCCTTAGCTGGTCTATAAAGTACAGCATGTTTAAGCATTAGGATGTTCAGAGATTCACTTGGTACCAGGACACTTCAGGATGTCAATCATCAACCTCGTAGCTATATCTTCTGACCTTCGCTTGCATGTCAGGGACACTTTGGTGAAGAGAGCTGTCGCCAGATAACCGCCTGGTTTTGAGTTGGATACTTTGGAAAGAAGACGGACGGACTGGTGATGGTCTACTGGGAATGACTGACAAAGCTTTCTTTGTCACATCAACTTCCACCTCCGAGAGAAATGTTCTCGATTTTGAGCTCTTTTTATTATTTCTTTGTGTTTGGAAAAACTTTATTGTATTCTTTTCAAACAACCCCTTAACTCAACAAACAACAAATCACAGAAAAAACTGATTTAAAAGAGGTAAAAATGTTGTTTTTATCATTAAAGTGAAATTTCTCTCATTTCATTTGATCTGCACTAATTTACGACTGAAGACGAAAAGAAGAAGCCTCTTGGATGAGAGGAGAAAAGTCTTCTAGAAAACTTCACGCCCAGTTACCTAAACTGAACTTTTTCAAGCCTGACCTGGACCTGGATGACTGATAATCTTCACAGATAATTAAAAAATGTCATTTCTGGGAACTTTACAGAGTCGTGATTTTAGAGAATAAGAAAAAGCTTCCTAACTTCCAACAGTTTCAATCTTACAACATATTCTCATTATCAGTTCATATGAAATTGTACGAAAAGTTATGCACACTATTTCATACGTTTTGTACGTTTTTCCTCAAAAAACCAGATCAGTGCGCATGCGCTGGCAGACAGAAAAAAAAAGCAGATCCGCGGATGGACATAAAACTGGGAAAAAAAGTGCAATCATCACTTCTTCATGTCTCTAACTACGTTGCTTGCTGTTTTATATCTTAGGGTTAGGGTTAGGGCTAATTCTAATTTATATTCTATTTTCTTGAATTGTGCGTAAGATGCGCATGCGCACACGACGAAAAAAACGTCCAAAACGTACGAAATTACGGTGCATAACTTTTGCATACGAACTCATAATGAGAATAGGTTGAATCTTATTGTTATAACCCCACGTCTGCAGCGCTCTAGCAGTTACAGAAGATTAACAGAGATCTGTCAAAAATATCCTGAAGTTTCAAACTGTTATTGAATATGACTGTTTAAGTGTTATTTTGACAGTTTGTTATAAACAGTTTATCAATGTAGATCATTACTTACTATTTAATAAGGAATATGAAGGTATTTAATTTTTAAATCTGTTCTGTTTTCCTTTAGTTTTTTTCACTGTTTTTGGAGCAAACATATTTTACTGTTTCTCCTTGTCTTCATTTTCCCTCTTACTCTCACCCATCCCCTCATTTTCACCACACCCCTTCATCTAAACTCCTTTCCAAATGTCGCGACTCAGATCAGCGAGAAGGTTGGTTATTCTTCACTCTTTCTCCTCCTAAGTCCTAAGGTCTGGCCGACTGGAGCCGTGCTGTGCCAGCATCTCGCTGGGCGCCCCAGGCTCGTCCCAGCCACTGACTAAGGAGCTAAACATTCTGCTTTACGTTCACCTGCTCTCAGGGCCCTTCTTACCCCAGTGTTATGTGAGAAAGAATGCTGTCTGAAGCCTTTTTTTTGGCAAATTTTGTGAAATGAGCATACATTAAAATTAAATACAGTAAAATAGCTTCCTCCACGCCTGCATACTACTGTTGATCTGGTCCATTTTCGGCTAGATTACTTCTGTTACGGATTGAACCAGAGGACCCAACAGATAGCATATAACAGTTTACTTTGGGGCGGGCTGCGGTAGTTTGGGGAATTATCACCAGCGTCGGAGACAGGAACCTGTGGGATTGGAGATAGAAGGT